CAAGGTCAGAACCACGCAAATCTGACACAGGAATGCGAGTTTCCATCCAACTTTAAGTGGCAAGCAAATAACGGTAAAACAACTTATCAAACTCAAACAACTCAAAAGTCTGGAACAGGGCCAACATGTAGGAACCCCAGACTTTGTCAAGCCCTCCTCACCCTTTGGGCCTCATCACCCAAGGCTGGAAAGTGATCTTCAATTCCACACACCTGACCAGGGCACACAACAAGTGGAAGTTGTACGGGGTTTGATTTCCTCAACCCCCATGACAACATGTGACTTGCTGCATAGGCCTTGTTGAAACAATAAAGTAATTGACATGGATGGGATGGGCGGTTGGTCGTTTACAGTCATATGACATATGACTCTCATATGACTCACTACGACAATCGGATGTTGTGTGTGCACAGTATGGACAGAATATGGACATATTACAGTAGAAGAATTTAGAATAGGGTGTATATATATATATATATTGGCGGCATAGGCTTAGGACATTGAATCCTACATACCATGCAATCAGGCAACCAGTGCTTTGTTTACTGTCTATTTGACAACTGCTATTTGTTATGTACTGTGATGCTCAAGTGGTGTTGCTGCCTGCACAATCAGTGTTCTGCAATCTCCAGTCTATAGTTCATCCTACTGTAATCCAATTGCCCTGCCCTACAGCTAGCGCCTCCTCCATCAGGGCCACCAATGGCTCTTTAAAGCCTGGGTGGGGCAAACACTCCGTCATGCTCAGGTCACTAGAATTGTAATGACTTGAGTGGGAGTCTGTGAGTGAAAAAAACATTGTGAACAATAATTGATGGTCTGTAATACAGTAACTTAGCTGGCGTTGTTTCCTGTTGGGCCCAAGCAGTTTCTTCTCACCAAATATTTCACTTGCAGGTCACTGCCAGTATTGATATGTGACCCACCTGTCTCATGGTCACATGGTACAGTAAATTCGGTAACCAATTAAACTTAAGTGTTGTTGCTCCTTGCTGCCCCCTAGAGAATGTGTTGTTAAGGCATGCGGCATGCAGCCACAAACTAATGGCCCATGGAAAGAAACTCCTTGGAGTGGAAATGTAAAAGAAGTTTTTGTGAAACAAAGAAAAGTAGGAATTTGAAACACACATAAAATGTAGGAAGCAGCACCGGTGGTAGCAGGTTTTTGGGGAACACGCCACCCATATGGGTGCTTTGGAGGGGTGGTATTTGGGGATTCACATTGTCTGGCCAAGCAGCGGATGTGCTTCACTCCAAGTTTGAAGGGACGGCTCTCTGGGCACTCAAGAGGGTTGAAATCTGCACCACGGGGCCGCAACCTTGTGTAAGGTTGGCAGGGTGGGCCCCAAACATAGCAATCCTGAGCTCAGAGCTCCAATCCCATGTTCTTGAATTGTTGACTCTTGGCATTGTGATCCAAAAAAGACTATGAAACTTGGGGGTCTCGGTCTCAGATTCAAAAAATGATTGTTTGGTGTGGTGATCAAAGAATCTGGATCAGGGCTTGGGGTTGACAAGTTTGTTACACCTGCAAAGAAAGACTGACACAGCTTTAAAGCCAGGCAATCTTCAAACCATTCACTCTTCTATTTCCCCACACTCTCAGCCATCTTCAGACCCAAGCCAAGTGTTTTCGTGGCCCTCCGTAATATCACAACCACTGTCCATATGAGAATCACAGTAACCACCAGCAAAGCAATGGTCCATGTTGGCAAACAAGTGGACAACTTAGATGGCACGGCAGTGTCACCAAGTGAGGTTGCCAGTCTTCTAAAAACGTTCTGGTGCAATGAACACAATGCAAATGCAGTGCAGGAATGTAGTATTCAGTATCAGCACTAGTATACATTACAGTCACGAGTCACAGTCTATATAAACGTTGAATGAAGCATGCAGCATGCAGTGCATGCTTATGACCTTACCTTGGCTAATTGGAGCAAGGCACTGTTATGGTGAAAGTGGGCCTTGATGAATTTCCTCTTGGAAAAGCTAGCTTCTGAAGCGGCCAGTGTTTTGAACACCAGATTGCCAGAGGTGGCCCGCTGCAGCTGCTCCCTTAGCAAGAAAGGAGTGACAAGTTCAGCTTCACAAAAACACAAGTGCAGATGTACCTGTACCTGTCACTAGGTGAACATGTCATTTCATTCATACATAGGTTCATATTCATATTCATATTCGCATTCATAAATATGAAGACTGGATGAAGAGACAAAGGTTGAAAGTATGATGTGCTGAAACTTGAGGCACCACCACCAACAATCCAAAAAACGGGTTCAATTCCATGTCACATGCTTTTGCACAGCAGGGCCAAACAAACCTCTCTCTTACTTACTGTTGTCTCTGTAAATTGGACTGGTTGCAGTGCATAGGTTGCCGTCGCTGCCCCTGCACAATCTTCAACAAGGACCAACCTTGGGAGCAAAGGCAGTCAAGTCATAGCCCATGGTCCATGGTTACCAAAAAAGTAGGGACCTCCAGTGTGTGGGCCCCAACGGCAACAGCAAAACTGGACTTCTTCAAGCAAGCCCAGCCATTTCCAAAGCAAACCAGTGACTCTTGCATGTCTTGGAAAGCCCGCTCCAGAATGCCTTGGTCCAGGTGCAGGTAGTCCATGATATGGTGTGCCCAATCAAAGTAGGCTGGCTTGTTGATTTCTACTGGCCTTACATGATCAACACTGCGTCACATATCCAGCACCCCAACCAACAAGACCCACAAACAAACATAAAATACGTGTTTGAGTTTGTCTGTCATTCACAGTCATTGTGTTTGCACAATTTGTCTGGAAGTAGTATATACAGGTTTACAGGATAGAGAAACGGTACACACAGTATAGCCTGAACATGCAATGCGCAAGCAAGTCTGTTAGTGCAACATCATACTGTGTAACCTGTAACTGCAAGCAGCATGTTACTTTCCTTGCTTCACAACTGCAGGGAGAGAACAAGGGATGGGTGCTTGGATGGGCAGAAGGGACAAATGGACAAACAAATCAAGGGTGCATGGATGGATGGATGGATGGATGGTTTGGAAGTGTTTTTTCTTTGTCTGCCTGTGTGTCTACCACGACTATGACTATGACTATGACTCTGACTATCGTGACTTTATGACTTTACTCTACTCCATTGCTAAACCTGTAGAATTTCAGAATTGGTAACTAGTAACAACTACAGAACATGTCCGCTGTGCTCGTATGCCCTAATTTGTGTGTTAGCTAAATGATGTGGCTATATCTGGCCAAAGTCTAGATATGGCCCATGACCTATTGGTGGTGATTCTTGGTTGACCAATAATTGGTTCCCTTGATTGATTCTAACAGCTGCAACAAAACCCAGTACTGCATCCCAAACCGATACCATACCCTTTTCTCATGCAGTCCATCCATCTAGTTCCCAAAACATGAACTAAGCTGAGCTGCAGTGCTGGACCATAGAGGGGCACAACGTCGCTTGAGCCTGAGCCTTCCTCCGTTGCCCTTGCATCATCATCCCACTGGGGAATGTTCCAGTCATCATCCAACCAAATGATGTCAGCATCCATGGCGGACATCCTTACCCCTGCCTTCAGCTTTCAGTTCAGCAAACAAATGGCTACTTGCAGCAGCCTGGATCTCATGCTTTGAAGGACAGCATCCTGGTTCACAAGACTCTTTTCTATATGGTTGGGCCAAACAAATTGGCCCACGCAGGAGGAATCCTAGATTCGTGGTAGAACTTTTGAGTTTTGAACCCACACCAGGTCCCTTGATCTGTATATTATATATGTGCTGGCGCTGTTGCTGTATAGTCTGAGTCATAGGGTCATACAGTCATTGAGTCATACAGATACATAAAGTTTGTTGTGCACTAGTGGTTCCAGGAACAGTCATAAATGCATACAACTTTCTTTGCAAGTTGAACCTTGGGTGCGGATTTGCCAAGTACCTGTTACAGCCAGGCATAGTTGGTCGGTTTTAGAATCAGTTGCTATTGACATATTGTTTGCTGAATTGGCTAGAAGCATGAACTAGTTTCAGGTGGATTATGATGGAAAATGAAATAGTTTCTGCAGAATTATGGTAGAATATGAATTAGTTTCTGCAGGATTTAGGTTGAATATGAAATAGTTTCTGCATGATTTTGGTGGAATATGAAATAGTTTCTGCAGGATTGCAATGGAACACCAATTTGATATGAAATAGTTTCTGCTGGAACATTATTCAATATATGCAAAATATGAATTAGTCTCTGGAAATTAAGAAATAGTTCTAGGTCAATAGGAAATAGTTCTTACTAGGACCAGTAACTGTCACAGAAGCATCTCACAAAGAGGGCGACAAACCTCATAACACATCCGCATTAAAATCATTAAGGACATATATCCATTCAATTTAATGCCAATAAGATCAGGATCAGCCATTATGTTTATAACATGTGTCTAATTGCTAATTAAATCGCTGATTATGTGGATTATGTGGACCAAAGAACACAATACTGTAAATGAAGATGAGATAGAAAAACTGTAAGGATAAGATGTGAATTATAATTCCTATAAACAATAATACATTGGTTGTTTATTTGTTTTTTTCCATGGTATGTTCTTGTTTGGTGTCTTCTTGATTAAAAATAGCCGAGATACAATGGGTTTGTCCCATTACCCGTAACAGTCATTGAACAAGGCCTTTACTAACCATCATCATCCACTGTTGCTGGTAATGGGGTAGGCCCAACAGATACATATAGACCCATATACAGACAGTGTCCACCGTAAAGATAGTGTCAATCAACCATTTCTCCAAACAGGGAACCTCTTCAAAAGCGCTTTCTAGAGGAACATTTGGGGTCCGCTATGTCTTCAAGTCATGTGACTTCGAAGAACGGCTCCAGCACCAGAAGCTGGAACAGAGGCACCTGTTGCCTCCTATGAGTATATCGGTTGGACAGGCTTCACATCCCAACGTTGGATTCTAGTAAAAAATAGGTCTTAAAGGACATCTCCAACGCAGGTTTCTGGTGTTCCAGGTTGGCACTTGTGCTCTCCTTCTACCACATCTTTATCCTGGACAGCGAGAACGAGAAGGGCCGTTTGCGAGACAAGCTTGCACGGGTTGAGGAGAAGAAGAAGCACGATGAGGCCATGTCAGCAGCGCCAAAAGACGTCCTGGTGTCGCCAACCGTTTGTGGAACATGGATTGCCAAGAATCGCACTCGCCCAAGCAGTTCATCCCCTTGTTGGGGCGGGATTTCAATACCATGTTTGAGTGGTGGTTTCAGATATTTTCACTTGGGATGATATGATGATTGACAACCCACTGACTAACAATTTAATTTTCCAAGTGAGCTGGGAAACCACCAGCCAGCTGTTCATTCGGCACTGAATAACCCTGTTGGCCAAGAGGGCCGTGGCTGCGTGGTGTAACGCATATGTAGTGCATATGTCGATTGTTATGTAAATAAATCATTGTGCGTCACTTGCTCGCTCTCTGAAATCATTGAGCTCGCATTGATCTACCAAGTGTTGACCTTTGGCAAAGGGCCTGCCCGTGGGGACTGATTGATTGGTCTCGTGCAAGGGGGGAGATCAAAACGAAAAGTTAAACATAAATAAATAAAGACATATATATATATCATGCGCATGCATACACCAGACACACAAGTGTTCTAGTTCTACTTGATGACCGTTGGCGTGCAAAGATTGGCCAGGTTCCCTCGTCTAGCTAGAAACACGAGAAGTCACCAATTCCTGTTGCTTGCTGCATGCTGGAACCTCCGTCTCCTTTGATCACTTTCCCTGATCAAGTACAAGTGAGTTGCGATGGCACCACACCAAAGAAGCAAACGGCTGCAGTTTTGGAGTGGTTGAGATGGATCCGCAGAAACTCGAAATGAATCCCAAAAATGTTTGCTGACCTAATGATACTAATAAATTCAAGAACCCTGTACAGCTATGGGCGCCACGGGCCACCAAGCCTTGGAGAATTCTTCGGACTCCTCGTGGTCGGGCCATGCTTGTCCCACCATATCCCACCCATTCAGAACACCCCAAGGAGGTAGAAACCATCCAAGTACTGAAAGCACTGCAACATACTGCAACGTGGATCCCCTAAAAGACTAAGGGCTAAGGGCATGACGAAAGTCGAAAGCCCACTCTTCTCAGTTCCTTTTCAATTCGAACTTCAGGACTCTTGCTCAGACGCTTTGCGACGCTCCAAGGCGACACGTCTTTTTGCGACACGTGGGTGGATCGTCCACGCCAAGTTTCCCATGTCCAGCCCACCGAGTTCGCCCTGGTTGGATCAATCACTGTATGACCCATGGATCCCACGTCAATCAACAGAACAGGCAACGCTTTCGAAAAGTACTTGAACTTCGGCTCAGTTGAAAGAAAGGGTCAGATATGACCGCGTCGACTTCCTCCATCATATACGGGTATAGTAGGTACCTGTACAGACGATAAAACACGTCATCAGCTCATACCATGTATAATGCCAAGGTCATGCCTGAACATTCCGTTCTGATCTAAGGCAATGTTTGGCCATTCCAAACCAGCAAACACATTGGCCACTAAGTTCACAACGCCCAGAAGACTGAGAGGTGAATCGTCGTGGTCGGGTCGAGCTCGGTTGCCTAGGTGACAGGTGTGAGAAGAAAACGATAGAAACCGCTAGAAAACGTCATGAGCTGTCTAGATAGCGCCCCATTCAAGCGGTGGCAAGCTTGCTGATCATTGTTTTTTTGAAGTTCATGTTGTCGGAGATCTTCATTTAGTGCCAGCAAGTAAGTAACAGAACACCCTATTCACCAAGTACCTCCTGGCAAATCTGAGATGGTGGGGTAGGTGTTAGGGAGTCCTAAAGTACCTTTTGAGGAGGTGTTTGGAGCCCTAGGGGTCGTATTGTCCTTCAACTCACATGGTGCGTTTAATTCCCCAAGCAGTTTACTGTTGGGGTTCTCTCTTAGGAAAAAAGAAGCCGGCCACAGTCTTTGGTCACGCCTGTGAACGCTGTGTCCGCCTGTTGTCTTCTTGCTGATTTTCTTGTCCTTTTCTTGTCCACCTGTTGTCCTCTTCCCCTTGTTGTCCTTCTGCTGGGAGCATATAGACATGACACCATGACACCGTGTGCGCACGATGCACCGTCCTCAAGCGCAATCAAAGGGTCCAATGCGAGAAAACAATTGCACACGCGCAGGCCTTGTGTGGTACCTAGAGGGACAGCGCCAGCCGGCAAGCGCGAAGACCGCAGTACAGCAGGATGGCCAGTCAGTGTGCACTACAAAGAAGCCGATGTCCCCTCCTTATCCTCCTGTTGTCAGATGTCCTCCTCTTCTCCTCTTGTCACAACTTTTTTGGGCACTGTCCTCCTCATGTTCTATTCTTGTTGTCCTTGCATTGGCCGCGGCTGCCAGCCTATCTCCGGTCGTGCTCCCCATCCTTGTTTTGTTGATTTTCTTGTCCTCTCTTCTTCTTCCCCTCTTGTTCTCCTCTTGGCGAGCCCCCCTCATATTGTCCTGTTGTCCTTTTGGCGTTGTCTGGTCACAGCTTGTCCTTCTTTTACCGACCTGGTGTGTTCGTGTTGCTTTCCTTCCCTCATCCTCATGTCCTCCTCTGGTCTTTCTGTTGCTGCTGCTGTCGGGCTGTTTACGTTGCTTTCCGAGGCAGTGGCTGGGTCTGTGGCCGCCCACCACAACTAAGCTGTTTGGGGTCTATGCTGTCTACGCTGGCATATTTTTGTACCGAATAAGAAGTAGAGCCTTGACCAACTCTCCCGGCCAACCACGACACGCTGCATCAGACTTCCCACCTTTCCACCCCCCTTGCGCCCCAGCCCTGGTCGTTTCGATCTGGCAGTCGCACCTCAGGCGACGGAGCAGCGCTGGGAGGAATTCAAGATGAAACGAAGGGCGGAAGCACTGCTGGGACTCAATCTGGAAGATCAAGAGGAGGCTGTTGCACTGCTCCACCGACCGACCGGTCGTCGAGCGCGAAAGTGATCGCTCGGAGCGACAGTCTGCGACGGGCGAGGGTGTGAGGCCACAATGCGTGGGTTGCGCGGTCGCGTCTTGCAGTTGCTTTGTGAGTTTGCAATCGGTGGAAGTCCAGGAGTTCTTCATGGTTTGGGGGTTTGCTGGAGAATTTGTGCTAGAACTGCTGGCTGTAGGTCAGTCCCCAAAATCGGAGAAAACCATGATGGGGTGAGGGACACACTGCACTGCTTGTTTGGCCCCTACCTTTTCGTGGCAGAGCCGATGAAGCCAGGAAAAGATCTACAGCCAAAGAGAGATGGAGGAACTCTACCAGAAGTGGATGCTTGGTGTAAAATGTGTGAAAGAGTTGCAGGTCCAAGGGTTAAAGATGGGGATGGCTGTTTTGACCTGGAAGTTAGGGGAAAAAACACCTTGACCCAATCACACACTTGGCCCCATGGATCCCCATGGCCATTTGTTGACAGCTATTGAACTCTCACACGGAGAGAGACTAATATGTAAATATATTCAATACTATTTATATTATATATACATGCATCATCACACCCACAATAGAACCCCTATGATGCAGATTGGTGTGTCGACCACCTTTGGATCTTTGGTGGCAAACCGCGGTTCTTCACTTAATATTGATGCTAGGTAGGTTGTGCCGACCCGGTGCAATACCATATAAAAATTACTTGATTTCGTTCAGACTTTGTTTGACATTATATATTAATTCATTGGGCTATAAATAATGTTTTGATTGTCGTGCTCAGTGTTCTTTCATGTTGGAGCTCTTTGTGGGAACCCCCTTCGCATGTCCAGTAATAAAAGCACTTGCATATGAATGCGCGTGGCATGCGCGAGCACACGTGATCCTTTCCTACTGTGTGTTGGGCCCCACGGGAGAGATAGACTGGCAAGTGCCGCGCAACTGTTCACCCGGATTCGCATGGAGTGAAATGGGATGGTTCGGGTACCGGCCTTGATCGGATTCTATAAAGGGGCTGCGCCTGAAACAGTGGAGAAGGCGGCTACGGCTAAGGACTGTGTCTAACAGCATGCCGCCAATACTGTGTCTAAAGATGCCTCCATCTACCATGCATTGCACTGTCGTGCGCTGAGTTTCTCTCAGTGGCATGTCGACACATCAGCAATTTCTGACGAGGAGTGAGAAATACGTGAATCCCTTGCTGGATGAGCTGGAGGAGCTCCGGAAGCAATTGGACATTCGCCCATCACCCTCCAAGAGGCGACCAGGGCATCCAACGGCCTCGTCGGGTGGACCAAGCATCGGTGAAAAGCCCCATTGAATCGGTTTGCAGCTAGACGAAGTTGCAGAGATACCGTGTACATATGTTAATATGCTCAACAACCCAGACATGCTTATAACAGATCCTTGGGTGTGGTTGCTCGTTCCTGCTGCTTCCGCAAAATCCAGTCCTGTTTTCCTCCAGCAGATTGAATATAAGGATACAAACAAATCCTCAAACGCAACGCAAAACATCTCCAAATTTAGAGGCCCCAAGATCTGGGAACTATGTGTTAGCCCTGCGGGATTTTGAGCTGGGGCCAGGCGTACCATGGGAGGCGAAGAAGCCAATTCGTCGCCCACAGGCAGTCAGCAGCTCAGCAACTAGGCTTCGGTGGCAGAGGGGAGGGTTGGGCCTGGCTGGCACAAAGATGTCAACACTAGATATCGCCACATGGCGCAACTTGGACGATGACCTGAGGCTGCCTGGCTGGCGGTGTGGCGGCCATGGGGAAGGGTGAAAACCATGGTGTCCGAATGTGTCCTGTCGATTATTCCCTTAATCCAATCCAATGCGAGTCCTTTCAAGTCTTGCCAGCCCTGTCATTCCCTTGCATCGACTCGGCATTGGACTCTCGAGTTCCTGTGGAGATTGCAAGCTGATTTTGACCACGATTTGGCCCCATTCGATCGGATTTACGATGGATTCTTAGACCTTGGGGCGCCCCTTGGGTTCCCCACAAATCCGCACCAACACGCTACGGTCCCGACCACGGATCCACGAGGCGAGCAGCGGATGCTGTGCGGCGCCTTGTTCGCTGCCTCCGAGCGCTCGCCGGAGCCCTTGGGCGACCTGCTGTGGCAGCTGGGCGATCGTTTGAAGGCGCGGAGAACGTGGAGATCTGGAGTGGTTGAGAAGTTGAAGCTGAAGGAAGAACAAGCAACGTGTTTGCTTGTTTCTTGGATTTAATTCCACATAATTCCACGGTTTCGTCGAAGCAAGACTTGATAATATGCGGAGTTGTCACCTGGTCACCTTGCAGATGTGGATCATTTTGGAAGCTGTTGACATTATAGTATAAGGTGCTTGGAATCACGGCTCGCAAGGTTCTCAAGATCACATCCCTTGAAAGTTATTGAAGCCTGCGCAGGCTGGAGAGAGCTACAAAGACATCGCCCTGGCGATTCAAGCCCTACCACATTTCAACCCCCACCTAGACGAAGACGCGCATTTGTTGGATCAAGAGGACTGGAGGGAGGTGAAGGGACGATGTTTGTTTGGACAGGGCAAGGGCGGAACACCCCCGCGTTCCACTCACTTCTGTGGATTTGCCTGGGTCCCAAACCTGAGTCTTTGACTGGGCAAAAGAACGGCGCGAAAGAAACGCCTGCTGCTTGGTGGTGCGGGCGCCCCAGCGTTTTTAGGGACGGGGAATTCAGATTGCCTGGTGAAGGGGCCCTGTTGACATGGTCAGACCGATAGCTAATACTAAGGCTAAGAGCACAATAGCCATGGTTGATACTGCAGACGAGCGTTGCCAACACGGGCTAGGAGCTTCGCTTGTTGCAGCAGGCAATGAAGGCTGGTTGTTGTTGATGCGCGGGTGGTTGGGCAGTGTAAGAACGGCATGTGGGATCAGATAGGCCCCTGTGTTTGAGAGGTGGCCAAGGGCCGGCCGGCCGGCCAGCTTTAGTCAATAGACTCCACTCCACTGCATTGTTTTCATGTTTTAAGTTTTAAATCTCGTTTTAGAAGGCCTTAGTCACTGATGGCATACACCCCAACATAGACAGAGAGGAATCAGGATTTGTTCAGAATGCTGACAGCTTCTTATTTTGGAGAGGAGGCTCCAGCCTCACACTCCCTATCACTATGCCTGCGAGACCCATTGCGAACCTTATTCCTTTTTCAGGGGGCACGGGTCAGTCTGCAGTATTCGCCAACATCATTTCCATGTGCTTCTCACACTAAAGTTCATGAAACAAAAAGCATACCTTCAAAAAACACTGAATGGTTTTTCTCTTCGTCTTGTGGAACGGATAGCGCGACTACCAAGGCAGCCTCCACTGTGGCGTCTCCCTCGCTGGGTCAAGAGCTTCAACGCTTGGAGCGCCTAATTGGAGCCACGACTCGTGAGGAGCTGCCTGAGGTGGTGCAGGTGCTACCACCGAGGTTTCTCCGCGACTCAGCCGGTACGACGGTACGAGGAAAGGGCATGGATTGTGGGTAGTGATAAGGAAGTTTGGGGGGGAAGTTGTGGAAATGTATCGGGAATACATCGAGACATCACGTGCAGTCTCATGAAATACCCATCCCATCCTTTTCATGAAATGCATCGGAAAGAATATGTGGGCACCTCTGGTTTGGCCCCAGCTGTTTGGACTCGTCCAATGCCGCCCTCCGTTTTCAACACCAAATTCAACAAGCAAACAAACCAAAAAGAGAGCAAACCAAACGAGCAAGCCAATGTCGAAATTCCATGTTCCTTTTGGGCGCGACCCAGATGGCAAAAAGCCCTGAAACAAGCCAACAGACCAGCGGCGCCTCCAGCGTCCTTCATCCCGAAAGGCTCACCCTTTCTCAAAGGCGCCGTGCACCACGGAGGACTGACACCGAGGATCACTGGAATGCCTAGTGATGCCCTGGTGTACTATGCGGATCCCACTGCGGATCCCGGCAAACAAGTCAATTTTTGCCGATGTGCGCACCCTGCTCAGGATGGGGTGTAGGTTCAGTGCCGCAGAGTTCATCGACGAGTCCCACAACACCCGACAGCCTGACGAAGGGAAAGCGCGCTGTGACATATTGTGGACAAGGTTGGCACATGCCCCCGCAATTTGTAACAACTACCTTGTGCATGGTCTTGTGACTAAGCTTGCCAGCAATTCGAGAGCCAGAGGCTATGGCCAAACAGGCCAAACCTCCCAGTTCTGGTGGTGAGAAGCTCTGTGGGCCTTTGGACCAGAGATTCTCGCAAAAGAAGCCTGTCAGACCCCAAAGATTCGGAGATGAGCTTACTGAGTCGTGCCTTTGCTTCAGTCCCAGACTGTCACGATGTTTCGGAGCCCCAAGCCAGTTTCTTGCACAAAAAAGGGCCCATCATGAATAAAGAATGACAGAGGATGCGAATTCATCATACATAATCGAATGAATGACAAAACCAAATTGCAGCAGCAATTACCCCCCGCAAGGTGTGACAGCTGCCGATCAGTTTTCTCACAGCTCGAGATGTGAGGGATCAGCCTCCCGTTTGGCCACCAGGAGTGTACTTGAACTACGAGGTTTGCAAGGTATATAGGTTGATTTCGCAATCTGGGGAAGTCCTTTTTAGATTACTTCCCAGATGCTCGGACCCAATGGAAACAACAAACAATAACAAACAACACTGCGACTTTTCTGATGCTCCAGATTTTGCTCTATATTCTGCTTTGCGATAACTCCCTCCATTTGCAGCATTCCTACGAACTCTAATTGAGCCAGGAATGACTTGAGCTTCAACATCTTGGCAGGATCTGTACAAAACGCCTGGGCTGCAGCCTTCACCACAGAAATCCACAGAATGAAGTCAAATAAATACGCTGCTTCCCACGTACTCCTTTTGCCTGGGAAAGTCGGTCAGAGACACGTCTCCAACTTGCTTTGCAACTTGCTTTGCTGCAAAGGTCCAAGGCTTGGCTTTGTCGGGTGCCTTTTCTGAAAACGTCTCCTGAAAGACAAACTCATGCTCATTGACTGTGTGGCCGTGTGTAGGAGTGTGTTCCAGCATGCTCCAGCAGTTCTAAAGAGCGCTAAAGAGGTCCCTATTGGAGGGTAGCGGTGCTATTATCCACTGACTTAGGGCCTTAGGGGCTGTCACCATAAAATCTGGGAAATCGCTGTTTTTCCCCACCTGTCAGGTGAGGGTTGTTAGATTTTATGTTACTGGTAGCTGCCTTGCTCCTCTCCTCTTCCTCCTCCTCCTCGTCCTCCTGGCCCTCCGCCTCCTCAACCGCGGGTGTCGCATGGCAGTGTTCCCCGCCGGACCTCAACTGCGAGTTGGCAGTTCGGAACAAGCTTAAGCAGCTCAACCAAGGGTTTGGACTGCTCGAACCTTTTCTGTTTGGCATTGGGCAGTTTTGTCTCGTGTATGGCATTGGTTGTTTTTCGCCCGGTCTTGAACCATTCTTTCAGGAGCCCAGCTTGTCTAGTCTAGTTGTAAACGTGTTCTTCAAACGGTCCAATCAGCAATCCCACTTAATAATATACATATATTATGTAAATATTTGTTTATTTATATATATATATATATACACAAAAGTTTTCGTTACATACTTTTTGAACTACATAGTCACACGCCCAAATATAAAGAGAGCTGGCAAGTATGATTGTAAAAACGATTCAGCATGCTCCTCGTGCGTCATTGTAAACTGCACGGGGAAAATGGCCTGACAACATGTAGATGCAAAAACACATCAGAGGCTTTCCTCATGTCGGCTGCGCGTACTACTGGGAGCTGGAATTTGCAAAGCAAATGGGCGGACGCAAAACATGCAATTTGTTTCCAGTTTCAAAACAAAATCCATGATGATCACCACCAGTAACCGAGCCATGACTTGGAGCCAGTGGCCCATAACTTCCCCACAACCCTCCCGCTGCACTGGTTCGGACCTGGAGGCCTACTGAACCCTTGCCCACTGAAATGCCCCTTCAACTATCCCAAACATTGGAAAAGATACGGGAAATGAAACAAAATTGATACGTTTGTTCTTAGACAGTTTGTTTTGTATGTTGAACCTTTCCAACCCCACACACAAGTGGGTATAATGTCCAGCATAGGCAAAGACAAAGTGTGCATGGATTGTGGCAAGTGGATCCTACAGGAACAGTTGTTCCATTGCAGCCGCCACAAAAAATGACCGAATCATGTCCACAATGAGTTCTCCTTTAACCGTCGCTTCTTTGCCAGGCGCTCCAAGCCTTGGCCGCAGAGGCTGCAGTTTGCGCGCGCGAAAGCGGCGCGAAAGCTGCACGGCGCCGCTCAGTGGCGGTCAACACCTCGCAAGCCATGGTGCTCCCAAGCGCCCCCGCCGTGCCGGAAGCAGTGGCCGTCAGTGCGGCGTCGGCCGCGCGGAGGGAACGATGGGAGATGGGTGGAAAGGGTCGGAAGCATGACCAGGAAAAAGGAATATAGGTCAGGGCGGGCTGTCAGAATGCGCAAAGGGTTATGGTTGTGTTCATTTCCTTGGTTATTCTATTGTTGTCGGGGGCCTTGTCAATTATTGGTAGACGCACCCTTTGGAGCGGAGCAGGGCCACCGGTTGCCGCGCATGAATTCGGATTCCATGTGTTGAGGCACAGTGTTTTCCATCTCGTCAGGTGTTGGGTTCACTCTGTTCACTCTTGCGAGGCCCGGTATACCGGAGGTTGACATAATTAGCAGATTAAGCAGTATTAATATTACAGTACTAGCAAATACACAGGCCCAAACGCTTCAAAAACAGCGCTCAAACGGTGCAAAAGGTCTCATGATTGTTTTTGAGTGCCAGCATTGAAGAGTGACACAGTTTGCCATCCCCACCAAAAAAACTTTTACAAACTGCTGGCCCAAGGTATTTCTATATCATATATGTGTTCTGAAGGTTTGCAGTTGCAGTTGCCGTCATTCAGAGTCATTCATTCAAAATTGTTGAGCTGTTTGAGGACCCGGCCCATGATGCACTCACATCCCATTTGAGGGGGCTACGTGGTGCTATTGATAGGTTGCAGTGATTTGACCAAGTCAAACCTCAATTGACAACCACGTTCATTTTTGCTAGGATCATTTGTATTCCAGCATGAGTCTTCTAACACACTTTCCCAACAACTGGCATGAGCTTCCAAGTTCATACCTCTTATTCCACCTTTTCACCTCCCACCCCACGCTTCGATCCCGAACCACACCCCAAATGCTTTTCGGATGCAAAGCTCGGGTGGGAGCTTGGTTCCGTGGCATCAGGAGGACGCAGAGCACTGGCGCCGCGAGCTGGAGCGCCTGCGAGCGCAGCTGGAAGCAGAGCTGAAGGCCGCACGCGAGGAGGCCGAACGGCAACGGCTTCGAGCAGAAGAGCCTGGGAACGGTCAGAGCAAAGGTGGAAAAAAACGGGGGGTCGAAGTAATTGAGGGAAGAAAGATCAAGACATGCTGACATATGCTGTAGAAACAAGGACGCTACTAGTAGCTCCTGGCCCTGGCATCGCTACTAGGAACAAGGACGTTCCTAACATGTTCACTGGTTTAGGATCCCCATGCACGACGTGATACATTTTTAGCATGCTGCCACAATCACCTCCAATGAGCCATAGCACCCACCGGCACGCAGGTATGTGACATGTAGTTATAGGTATTTTTATAGTTATGTTGCTTGGATGGCTTATCGTCCATGTTGATTATTGATCGTGTTGTTTTTCATGTCAAGATTCTTTTTGCCTGGCGGGTTGGGCACTTGGAGAGAGTCAGTGCTGGAACGCGGATTGGGATGAATTGAATAGGTTTTTGAATTTCCCCGACAACCAGCCCCCATATTTCAACCAAACTTCCGTGATTTTCCGTGATTCCAACGTCGATGTTGCCCAAAGCGAGAGACCGCGACAAGACCTGCAACACCCAACAAGCCGCAGTCAATGTGAACCTCTACCAGTTACCAGCCCGTGCAAACCCTAACCCGCCTGGTTGGACCACGTCCACATCGGCCAGATCAGCTGAGGAAGCCTTGCGACGCTTGGAGGAGGAAGCCAAACGAGCCGATGGCCTCATGGAGGTCGGGGCCGGGTCGTCGGGGAAGAACACCGTGGGGGGCAACACGGCTTTCGATGCCACATCAAGTAGCCCGTGATTCCTCCGATATAATAGATCCAGAAGGTGAGAACAGGCCCTGGGCCAATCGTCAAATACCCGAGTTGATGGAGGTCGGTTGCGTTGGTTAGCGAAAGGCACCATGATGATCCATGATGACTTGTTTTCCATTAAAACAACATGTTGCTTCGGATTGGAAGGGATTGGAAGGTCGAGCAAACTTGGAAAGCAAACGGCTCGGCTTCAGAATGGTTTGCCCAGGCCAATATGTGTTGTTTCTAATTATATACCACTGCAGCATGGCTGCCCATTCGAGTGATTTACTCCGGGGTGAAAATTGATGGCTTGTCTTTTTTTGTTGCTTCATCTTCGAACTCCAGGGGGCAACACACTGTTGCGCCATCTGCAAGTCCAAAAACCCTGGAAAACTACCGCATTTATGGTCCAAGATCTCGCCATTTTGTCATTTTTTTATTTGCGTGTGGGGGCTTTATGTCAGGACCACAGATGGCGCGATGCCAATCAATGCATACAGTAGGCTTCAACTCTGCAAATCTCACCACTGATGCTGAAATGCTATACTGCATGAAGCAGAAGCGCAGGAAAGGAAAAGGGAAGGAGGAGAGGGAAGGGACAAATCCAGGAAAGAAAAAGGAAAGGGAAAGGACAAGGAACGCAAAGGGAAAGGACAAGGAACGGAAAGGGAAAGGAAAAGTGAAGGAAAGGCAAGAGAAGGAGAGGAGAGGAGAGGAGAGGAGTGCAAAAGGAAAGGAAGGAAAAAGGAAGCAAACCAAAATGAGTTGCGCCATCTATTGGTCTATTGGTTCACGCATCTATTTTTTGGTCTATGAGTTGCGCCATCTATTGCCCCTATGTGAAAATAGATCAATGGAATAAAGGAAGGGAAAGGGAAAAGACGGGGAAAGGAACAGAGAGGGACAGGAGAAGTCAAGGAAAGGAAACAAAAGGAAAGGAGAGGGAAAGCACATGGACAGGAGAAGGAAAGGAATGGAAAGTGAAAAGGAGGAAAAGGAAAGTAGAGGAACAACAGGTGAACACAAAGGTACTATGAACCACCCCCTGGTTGAGCCATCCACCACTATGTAAAATCGGCCTGTTTTACATGAGGGTAGATGGCGCAACCCAATTTTTGACCATCATGCATTTGCCCCCGGAGTAAAGGATGTGCGCCATCTACTGCTTCAACATGATATTGCCCTGCATATCCTTCAGTGTCCAGATTCCTGAGCAGTCCTTGTGTTTGCTTGCCGCGTTCTTTTTTTGGGATGGGAGAAACAGAGCTTTGGGATGCGCCATCTATAGATTTTGCAGCCCTAGTTTTCGTGATGTTTAATGATTTTTGTGCGACAGTTTTTTGTGCTTCCTAGCTCAAAGATGATTCAATTGACATGTGGTGTTGAGCCATCTATGGCTATGGTGGCTACCCCCTGAGTTGCGCCAACAACTTTCACCCCGGTGTGAGTGATTAAACTTTCTGCCAGGAAATGAGGAAGAAGATGGAGCAAATGCAGGAGATGTTGCACTCAAAGGGCCTTGGCAAAGCCGTCGAAGCGGCACTAGCGGCAGCGGGACTCACCTCCTTTTGCCGCGGTCGTGATGTTTTTGAACGTTTGTATCGAGATGCCCTGCGGCGGATGAGGGTCTATGCTGAGAACCAGACGCTTGGTGATGTTTCGTCCGTTCAACATCAGTTCGGCTTGGATGGCTTGGGTATAATGTTTGTGATGCCACAATGCCAGGCCCACTTCAACAGAGAATGGCAGAGATTTATCGCCCGCCACATTGATAGAGAGGTAAAGAGCCGAGGGAGTGGTTTTCTCATGTTTTCTCAAATCTTCACCAGAAAGTCATTCCAGTGGTGCACAAGTCTACGCGCTTTCAAAGCAACACAACTTGCAAAGCCACATGCTTCAAATGAGGGTGACCAAAATTCAGCGCGCTGGTTGGGGTCAAACATCTGAAGGCCGGAAAACTGAAGATCAATTTTTGACACCTTCTTCCCCCCATACTTATAACAGCGATTTCAGCTTTTGTCAAGCACACAGACATCGATCCATCCATCCATCCATCCATGCACGCATATACTATATGCATATGTTTGTCGAGGATGCGCACTGGCGCATGCAGCACCTGGCACCTGACACCACACCCCTCAGGCTGCGACTCTTGAAGATGTCGGGCAGCAGCTTCAACCAGGCGCTCCACCACCTAGCCGCACATCCCATGGCCGCTGTCGGGGCCGCCATGGACACCTAAATTTGGCATAGATTCCAACGTTCAACCTATTTGCATTCGGAAGAAGAAACTACTGTAACTTTTTTCGATGTTCTCATTTAGGGCATGTTTTCAAAAGCTGATAGCCAGATGGGTTTCTTTTTTCATCATTTTGCGTTATTTTTTCCGGAGACATGTTCATGAGTTGGAGATGAACCAAGGAACTCCACACCAGCAACTTCTCCTCCCTACAGGCCCTTCAGGACTGTGCTTCTGGCAGTGCGGTTTCTACTTCAACTGAGCCCCGCTCGGTTCCGCTGCCAAGCGCCCGGCGTGTGTCAAAGGTCCAGAAGATCAGGACCGTGGGAGATGATCCGAGCATGTATAAACGTGTGTTGACCCTGAGGCCCTGCCGTGGATGTGTGGAAATTGCTGAGCTTGTGGAAATCCAGATTTCGTTTTGGGTTGGGGGGATTCATGAAAACAATATGAAACAGAGTATATATACATACAGTATATACATGAAGATTTTCAAAAACATACTGCGCCTTTGAAGAGCGCTCTAGGACCACCACATCCTTTGACTCGCGTCCTTCTTCGAGTCACAGCCTCTCCGGGCAGCGCGTCGGCCTTCACCGCAGCGCCACGGTGGGAACGCCCACGCACGGAGCTTGGACTTCTCCACTGCGGCAGACCTTGTTCCAGGGCCCTGACGAAGCTGCAACGGGCCCACCGTTGCGCCGACCCGGCACCGGCGGCCGGCGTGAACGACGTCGTGAGGAGGTGCCGGCGGAGGGCACCCGACCACGGAGTGGTCGAGCTAAGAGCTCGCCGGCGCTCACGGTCGCTTGGGCGCTGGTGTTTCAAATGCAAGAGGTCATAGCGGGCAGTTGGTAGAATAGTAGAAGACAAACCCCAGTGTTTCGCAGATTTTGGGTGGAGTCGTCTAAATACATCTATATCTCTACTTTAAGTGATGCAGAGAGCAATTCATATGATGGTTTGTTATGGTTTGTTTCAATGTGATGTTGGCATATCGCAGCAGGGTGAGCCCGCTTCAACCGCTTCGGACGGAGCACCGACCGGACCCGCGACCGAACGCCAAGGTGAGCCGCTTGTGGCACGCGCTGTGGACCAAAGCAACTCGGTGTGAGCTTGGCATCCATGTAGTGCTGCTAAGTGTTCGATGCTTGGATTGTTTGTCGTATTGCAGGGTCCAATACCCCTTGAGGCCCTTCAGTTTTTCTTGGTCCTTCGGGTCCAGTTTGCAGAGTCTTTCTCCAATCGACGCTGTGATTTGGTGGAGACCTTTTGAAGACGTGGCCCGCGGCCGGAATGGGCCGCAAGGTCCAGACGAGTCTGTGCGGCCAGGTGCGAAGAGAGGCACTATGAACAGCAAACGCATACATATTGATTCATTAAACCCTTCCGGCCTGCTTTCTTTTTTGGGGGCTCCAATTGATATATATATATTTTTTTAATTTATATTTATGATATATATGTGTGTATTCCAACCACCTTCCAAAAACGCGTTTGTCACGGTCTTGATCACAATCCTCAAGCTGGTAGCATTGTACCGTACTTCTCCGCCGCTCGTTGCACTGGACTTCCAACACAACAGACATCGTAGGAGAAAGCTTGGCGATTTGTCCAGCAACCCAGCAGATGTAGAAAGATCATGATCATGACATTAAACGAGCCTGGAGATCCCCCAAACAGACAGAAACAACTCTCAACGCATGGTCCATCACGAGCTTGTTGATGTTCAATCCATGTTCACGTTCATTCATTTTGGATAATGGGGTTTCTATGAACAACCTTTTCGTGTTGTGTGCAATCTAATTTTCAATCACGTTCAACCCTTTCTTGTTGAGGTACACGTAATTAGGGATCAGAACAATCCCAGGAAGTTCTCGTTTGAAGTTTTTGATTTTGAGAAACTCAAGTCTTTGGTTTGCTAGAATAGAACGGCTGAAATGTGAAATGTGTTGTCAAAGCTGGGTGTCAACTTCTAAATTCACCCAGCAGCGCCTCAGGTGGCACCCAAGCAACCAAGCACAGTGAACTGATAAGATGTGGTAAGACCATTTATTAATAGACCTGTGAGTGATTGCATGTTGCCCCCCGACCCTACATGTTTGCTTCCTCCATTTTCCTGACAAATAACAAGCACGTCCAGCAGCCTTTTGGGTATTGTTCTTCGTCGCGTGGGGGCTGGTCGACTGCCAAGTATGTTGAGCATGTCGGAGATATGCTTCAAAACTTCGTAAAAATGACAGCCAGCCTCTCAAGCATGAAAGCTTGAGGGATCACGGAAGTCGCCCCAAAGTGGGCGATGTTTGTCCCACACAGACACATCCAAAGAATCACGCAAATCAAAGCATTAGATTAAACCATGCAACAGATGGGATGAACCCCTTGCAGGATGAGTGTTGCGGCAAACAACGTAGCTAGGAACCTGTGAACATGAACGCAGGTAAGCTTGGCGGCAGTGGACTGACCAAAAGATCTTTTTGCGTAGGTCATCATGACAGGAAACACCCTTCAACATGTGTGACATTTTTTGTATACATAAATAGGTACTATATAAATAAATAAATATATATATATATATTATGTACGCATGTACAGCATACAGCTGATGTTCTTGGTGCTCCTCGTAGCGTCGGCCCACTTGGTCTATAGAGTTTGGTCCCCCGCTTCCCTGAGGTCATTCTTTGGCCAACCGTACAAATCATTTTTAACTACCCATCGCTGAATGCATTTGCAAGACTCGAGCATGGTCCTGGATCCAGCATCAGAAGCCTTATACAGATACACATAAACATGCTTGTACATAGTTGAGCTTCAGCACCGCCAGCACCCAACAGAAATGAGCACGACAGTGCGTTGTAAATAGATGAGATACTCGTGTCTATTGTAAAATGTTTTGCAATATTACTAACTTAATTGTATACCGATATTCTCAGATGTTGAGTATCAATTCTGCACTAGCTCCTCCCCTGCACCAGTATGCATTGCATCCCGCACTCGGGTGTTTTTATGTGTGCCCTTTGAGTCTCCCGATCGGTGCGCAGGCGAAGCAGTTCCAAGCTTCTCTGAGAGGGAATTGGTAGACCTGGCTGAAATGACTGAAATGCCCCGAGCAATTGGATGTGCTCTGCAGGAGTGGGATCAGGGGGAACTCGGTACTAAGTTACTATGACCTCAGACCTCGGTTGGAGGAAAGAACATTCAGTTGGTTCCACTTGCACTTTTTTTGCACGGACAGGCATCCCGGCACACCATAGGAAGTTCAGGGGACCTATTAGCCTGCTTGAGATTCGTGATTCACAAGCTGGGACCTGGGATGTTTGTGGCATGTTGAGTATAGGAACGCGTGCATTTCAACCAACTGCCTTGGCTCGATTCTCCCGCCACCAACCACCACACAAGAACCGTCCGAGAAGGAACGGTTGAAAGGACGACTAAGAACGGAAGCTGGACAATGGTTGATACTTACTCCACACGGCCTATTGTTACTCCCATCCGAGTGAACCTCCACACCAATTGTTGAAATGGACAATTAACCTGTTGGATCAGTCTCTCCACAGCCACGATTCCACTTCACACCATATCACACCACGCAGCGGCTGGCGGAGACTGAGCGGGCGCAGCTGATCAGCGATCAGAGAAAGAGGGTTTGTTGACGAAGGAACTTGGGAGGGCATCGGTCGAGTCGAGGTATGTGCCACAAGGTAGGGGGTGTTTCGTTTGGGAACAGGCTAGCGGCTAGCAAAAACTTGAAGAACGGACCGTTTTGTGCAAAGCTGTGACGTTTAGATTTATCCCACACACTCCGGTTGTATGGAAGATAGAGGTGGATTGACTGCTAGGAGCCGCGACTCGCAACAAAGCCTCTCTACCAGAATAGCTTTACATGTCCATATCCGGGGGATGCATTACTCAAGTCTACTCTTCCACTGTGTGGCGTTTGTTTGAGCCCAAAGAGGGCCGACCCGGCCTGGCCCGGACCAAAATCTCAAAGGCTATACGTAAACCACCTAATACAGATATATATATCATGGCCACCTTTGGATTCTTTTTCATGCCTGGGAGGTCTTGGAGGGGGAGTTCAGCGGCCCAAATCACGGACCCTGACCCACACCTTTCTGAACATGCCAGGGATGGCCGTGTCATTGGATTGATCGGCGTGGGTCAGGACAGATCCTGACCGAATCAGACGGATTTTGGTGGTATTTTTTCCATCGAAGCGATGAAGAACTCGACAATTTCCGGCTTTCAGGAGTCTGTTTCAGGAGTCTTTTTGGTGCAGGTGTGTCCAAGGCCCTTCCGGATTTCGGAGTTTATGACAAAACAGACCACGGAGTTTATGAAGATGGGGTGCCACCTGGCGGTTTGGCTTCGCAGTTGATTCCACCGGAAGACCCGATCGACAAGGTGGTGTTTCTTTTGGGGGCACTGGGGGCAGCGGTCGAGTAACAGGTCCTCAGGTCCCCAGACAGAAAGACATATGGTGCATTAGCTTCAGAGTAGCCATCTTCTATATATATACGACCGCTCGGATGGCTCCTTTCCTTGTCGACCGTGTTCGATCGCGGACTCGCCGCACGATCGGTGTGGGGAGACTCGAAGCCCTTCGGCATCGGTCGCCGTCAGTCTGTGGATCTTCCAAATGACTGCTTCCTGGTGACAGGTGTCCAGACCTGTTCGGCTCCCACCACCTGTTGCAGGGTTCTGGAGGGTTCGGAAGTTCTGGTCCAGAATTTTGGGAGGCTTGACCCTTTTTAGGCAGAATCCTGGTCTCAACCCTGCCAAAGGCAGAAAAGGAAGAATACCTTCTGAGCCAAGGATGCAAGAAGAACACCTTGTGAGCAAATGCACAAATGATGCAAGAAGAACACCTTCTGAGCAAAGGATGCTTAGTGATGTAGAAATGTAATGAAATGTACGTAGAAGAAAAAACACCCTTTTTAGGGTCTCCGTGCTGGTGCCCTTTTTGGAGTCGGATAGCCCCTTTGGCCGCAGAGGGCCCTAGCTTCTCAAACATGACCCCTGATGCCCCCACACATGTCCAAACCGTATGATCACTCTCCTAGTGAGTGCCAGGAACAACCGGGGGCGGTTCCATGCGGTTCCTTCTATTGACATTACTGGCCTGGTTCCGAATCAATGGAATCAATGGCTTTTCGACCTGCTGGCTCTTCAACTAAACCTCCTAGCCGCTAGCCCATACCGGAGCGGTCTGGCTCAACTGGACTATCGTCTTTTTCAGAAAACGCAGGACATCACCGACGTCACAAAGCAGAAGCAGGAGGATCGTGCAAAAGGAAGACCGGACAAGAATCTTTTGGTTTGGCCATCCGACCTTTCCTTTCTTTCCAATCATAATCAATGACCAGAGGGTGTTTGGAGGAGACTTTGGGCTCTTCGAAGACCACGGCCAAAGAGGACTCGACGCCCAAAGGTTAACTTTCTGAAATCAATTAGGGTGCGCACACGACTTTCTTTTGGAAGGCCAAATCGCCCTTTTGTGGAGGACCACCGGTGAACGCAAGATCCCAAACCAACCGAGATCTCACGCGTTTCGCCATCGTGGTCACGCGTTTCACGTGTGCACATGAGACATTGTGTTTCACACGTGCGGTGTCACTCGCCAGGCGGTCCTGCAGGCCGCGGAGTTTCAGAACATCATTCATTCGGTTGGGGCGCCCGGTCGCAATGAGAACGAGCTGAGGCGGGGAACCAACCCTTTGTTCGGTGTTCTGTCTCTCAGCCTCTCAGCAGTACACATTCCATGTGTGGCACAATTACCGATGGTTCCAGGGGGCAATGTATATATAATATATATATATATTTACTTATTTATGAAATTATATACATATGTTGTTTATTGTTCTTATTTTATATTATGTTCATATATGTGTGGAGTGTTTGGGTCTATACACTGCTGCATTATAAGGACATAATAATATAACAACAAAAACCAGAACTAAAAGCAAACAAACAAAAAAAAACACGAACAATCCCCTGAGGTTTGGATCAGTGTTCTTGGACCTAGCTCCGAGAATGTCTCCATCCTTTTTCAGAAGCATTCCTGATGATGCCATAATTTCCACTAACACCGATGCCTGCACTGAGATTCGAGGTCATCAAGCCTAGACTTAAACTCCAAAAGCGCATCTATGCCACCTTCAGGTCAGCAGTTGCTCTCCTAGTAACTTTGCTCTCCTGTTTTCTCCATGTTTGATCCTGCCCCCCCGCTCCATCATGAAATCCTTGGCGAGCCCAGCGCATCGCCTCTCAGCATCTCTCAGCCATATACTGACCTTTGACACGGATATTGAACGGGCTTTCCAGCGGTTTCATCATATTTGATTCTATTGGTAGGTGCTTTGGCATTAAAAGCTTATGTATATTCTTCTTGTACAGATAATTGGTCAAACGTATAGAAACTTTGGATGATGATTCCACCTTTATATTATTGTTGGTTATGTATTCATTTGTTCTATCTTCAGGAACTTTTTCAGCCATATTAAAATCTTTGAATCCATCTCTTATGTTCAATCTAGGTCTCTCTTCATATTATCCAAAGACAAGATGTCGTGAACGCCGAGGCTGGTGTTCCCATCATCGAGTTGGACAAGCACAGCTGTATCACACAGCAAATTGGATGGCAACATTGGATGGGAAAGGAATATATATATATACACACACATAAAGCGTCATTTACTATAACATGATGGATTTGTGCAGGATTTCATTTTTGTTGATGTTTGTTTGTTCCGTAGCCGCATCACAGAGAAAGAGAAGGGGTGCCCTTCTAGTGGGGACAGAAGCAAGTACCATAAGTCTTTGTACAACAAGATGCAACAAGATTTAGATTACTGTAATGTTAATTCTAATTCTTTTTGTTTCTTGTTTCTAGTAGCAAACATTGTTCCTAGTAGTACGGCCAGGAGCCCCTAGTAGCGCCCTTGCTCCTAGTAGCGATGCCCTTTGCTCCTACCCCCTTCAAGATCCAAAGGCATGTTGCTCAGGTGGCATCCCGTTCCCATCCGCGTTCCCGGTGTGTGTCCCACAGGTGGAACGCGCGCATCGCCGAGCTCACTGGCATACCACGTGAACAAGTGCTTGGCAAGGAGAACGCGACCAGTGGTGTAGAGCAATTCAAGTGAACGTGGGTTTGGAATGTCCTTGAACATGGGCTCAGGCTGGTGCAGGTACTTGTTGTATGTGTTCTGAGTTGCTGGAAAGCGTTCAAGGATGACACTATGCAAATATAATCAAATATATAATATATATATAGTATATTAAATATTGTTCTATTATCATGTAGAGACACGGCATTTTTGTTCGGATCCCTTGTGCTGAAAGGTGTTCCTACTCGACGTCCCAGGAGTTGTTGAGTGTCGTCTTGGAGAGCTGCGCGGCGGAGGTGCGCATTGCCGCGCAGTCCTCCCAAAAAGAGTTGATTCATTCAGTTTATATAATCATTTGTCTTTTTAAATACAAACTATAGGAACATATAGTTGACTCCAGTCCCCTCTCTCCAGTTCAGTTCATCAGTTCATCACTAGAATAAGACCCCTTGCAGGGTCCCTGCCTCAAATTCAATGTCCCAACCCCGTGTTCCACCCTTCTGAAGTGCCATCCACCAAAAGGGAGCTGTGAGTTCTTCAGCTCATCACACCTGTTCAGTTGGCTAGGGGGTGAGTTCTTCAGCTCATCACACCTGTTCAGTTGGCTACGGGGTGGTTCTGACATGTGTTGACCCATGACCTTTGATTTGTTCACAGGGAGGTTCGAAGCAAGGAGTTTCTTCCACTTCTGCCTTTGTCACAGCTGTTTGGCCCAAAACGTGGCGCAGCACGAGAAACAAACCATGCCCAGCGCACTGCCACTTGGCGCGGTTTCGTGGGCATGACCTGAGGTCCTCTTGGGGTGCTCTGGGGCTGGTAGGCATGAGCAAGCAAATTTGTTTCACCTTTAGGAGCTTTCCTTCACAAGCAAACTGTGATCGAGCGCGGGTGCAGTTAAACGCACATATAGCTGCTGAAAAGGGAACTCCCATCATCAGGCGGCGCATTCGACCGATCATAGAGATTTGTTGATTGGATCATAGATCCCCCAGGCCCCGGAAGCATCCTTTTTTTGGGGATGCCGTCCTCAAGAATGCAATAAGATGTTCTTGATGTGTTTTCCTACTTTGACATGTGGCAACCTGTTCGACACCAATTTAGGACAGAAAAGATATTTTCACGACGGTGGTGGCTTGTAGCCCAAAGCCGATCTGTTGCACTTTGGGTGTGCAACTGGTGAAACAAGTGTTACACGTGTTACATCAATGTATATACGATTCCTTGGGGGTACATGGTGTGTACTATTTTCACATTCATTCTGGTTCGTGTTCGGGTTGCGCTTCGTCTTCGGGGGTTTGCCCCCCAAGGAAAGCCCGGGCAGGGAAGCCCTCCGTGACGGAGATGAAGTCGCAGCTGGCTGGGCTGCGAAAGCCCTTAGCCAGTACCATGGAGGCTCCGTCGCCGTGACTGGTCGGTGCAGTTGGCTTTTTTGGGGGATCAACATCTCCAGACCCCACTGGAGTGTGGGGAGTGTGCAGGATCATAACAGAACCACAGGGGCTTGGGGATTGAAGATGTTTCAACGTTGTGCATCCGAACCACCATGACCAATGGACCTTTGATAGTAATAGATACAGATACTCGCTGACATTTAAAAAAAATATGGAGCATTTGTGAGGTGTTTTTCTTTGTATGTTGTGTTTGTTTGTCCACCTTCTTTCATCTCCTGATGAGCTTTCGGGGCGCCCTGTCGTCTAGTTCCGAACTTCCGAACATGCAGTTTTCAAAAGGATTGTTGACCACCAGTTGACCATTTCAATGTATATATTTCTGCCACCATCGTTTCCAGGAGTGCTTAAACTCCTTGCTGTGCCAGGGGTGTCCTCGATTGGCCCGCCCACTTGCCCGCCTACCATTGGTCCGCCAGGCGCTCTACTCCAAGTATCACCAGATTTGTCTCGCCGAGGATCCGCCACTCCAGGAGCCGGGTCCGCCACAGAAGGGATGGGATGAGGAGCCATCTGTATAAGAACCAGTGTGGACAAAATATTAACACCAAGACAATTCTTTGACATGTGTTATGTTGTTTTTGTTGGCAACTAGGGGTGGGCATGGTGAGATCATTCGCCACACATTGTTCGCCAGAATCGCAGGGGCAGTCAATGTAAATTCAGTTTTGGTTGACGTCCGCAAGGTGAGCGCTTGCGCAAAGCCTATTATTACATGGTTTCCTTGTGTTTAAAGCCTCGTCCAAGGCCTGGAATTTTAATGGTGATGATTACTTTGGTGCCCTTGCCGGTCGGGTGGCGCCAGCCTGGCGCAAATGTGAAAGCGAGGAATTGCCGGTGAAGGAGGATGGCATCAACTGGAAAGCCTTGATCCTTAGTCTTCCCACACCTGAGAACACCAAGGCGGGGACGATCATGTGGTGGGACTCAAAACCACATCCGCCTGAAATTGGCCAACACCCTCAATAGTCAGTAGACGGTAGACTGGTAGACGGATCTGTTTAAATGTTTTTTCATGTTTTTTCACTTATGGTGTAGCAGGGTTCTTCCTAGTAGGCCAGCGAAGCAGGGTTCTTCCTAAGGCTGATTCTCAGAAACGCATTGCATAGCGTTTGGGCGTTCAGGGAGGTTGAAGTCAATATAGGCCTCCTGTGACGTCCAAGACGGCTGCCGAGGGACAGCGAATTTTGAGCGGACTCCCAACAGTTCAAACTCATGTTTCTGTGCGGGTTCCTTTGAGACTCACAGTGTTCTGATTGTTCACCAACAACGCAGGGAGAAGGCAGAGAGACACTGTCCTAAGCCAACCGAGCAGCTGGGGATCTTCATATGTTGGAAGAGACAGTGCTGAACCTATGATATGCAACTGTTTGCCATCTCCGGGAAGAGACCGCACATGCATTCCTGAACAAGTATAAGACTGGACCGCACATGCATTCCCAGTCCACGAAGTTCCTCCGGACGCCCGAAACCGGGGCACTGAAGTTCCTTTGTAAACCATGGACCCCCGAGGGGGGCGAGGGGAGTTCCTACCGTTATTTCTGGGTGATGGTTGAAGAACAATCACTTCGTGAGTGTCACCGTCGACTACGACAGGTCTTAGGCTGCGGTATCCGTCGGGTGCTCTTCAAGCGCGCCGACTGCATCTACGATGGCATCTACCGCTTCCACGTCGAAAGGCATCGTTTTCATCAACTGGGTTCGTTCAGATGCACAAATTCCCCGTGTTGGACGGAGTATGTAGATCCTGGACCCTCCCCATGTTCCAAACAATCTTGTACCAACCAACGTTTTGACATGTTTTGACATACATATACATATATATATATATAGGTTGGATTTCCACCAATTAATCAAACGAGTGCGATCCATAGGGATTCATGACTCGGCAGTGCATACGCAGAAGTTAGTTGAAAGCCAATCGCATCCATTGGAACCACCTGGAAACTCCAATAACCAGAAACAAATGGTTGCTCCACTGTGGCAATTGAGATTTGAGATTACACAGGAAGTGGGCTGGGGAAATATCCATTTGTTTCTGTTTGTTTTGGTTTCGTCCAAAGGCGCCGGAAAGGGTCAGCCACGTGCCGTTTTTTGTGTTGCATGCTTCGACCAAGATGCACAATGATACATCCATTGGTGGGAAATTGGTTGTCACTGGCATGTCATGACCTCTAGTCAAAACTCAGTTCAGAGTGAAAGCTTTGGCCCAACGATGTTCACACTTGTTTGTTCAGAAGCATGCCTCACTACGAGCAGGAAGAACTGCTAGCTACATCATGGGCAAATGATCCCTATTCCGCACGCATGGCAGCACGCCATAGATTGTGAAGTTGTTTTGTTTTGCTTGATATGCAGCACCTGTACGTTGTACGCATGTAAGATCATAATATAAGAACACACATATATATATATATATATATTAAGTGATTATCAATGCATTTTTGTGAGCTACTAAGGCTTTGCCACATGTCGAGACGAGGTTTTTGTGGGAGGTTGAAATGGGGAACACTGTTTGTTTGCTGTTGCACGCCCATCAAGTCTCAGTTTGAAGGCTTTTGTTCCTCTCTAGGCTAGACCTTCCTTTGGCATGAGACAAATTGCACGCGTCCATACACCTAAATAAACGAGCAGAAAGAATGTTATCCAAGTTTTTTCTGCGCCCAAACCTGGTCCAGGATATGCATATATTTATATTAGAAATTCGTGCTGCCAACACAGTGCAAGAACAAAGGATAGATTTGGATGAATTGACTTGCATTTAAGATCATTTAAGGGGGTCAGACAGCTTGAAACTCAGTTAGCATACCAGATACCACTTCTGATTCCATAGCTCCAAGTTTGGCTGACTGACTCACCCCTTTCAAAGACAAACCCAGCTGGCTCGGAACTCAGCTAGCCTAAAAATTCAGCCAGCTCACCATTCGGCCATTTGGTTAGCTCACCACCTTGACCAACTCGCGGCGCAAATGCAAGCCTTGCACATCGTCCAACATCACAAGTCCGATCGTGCCACATCCCTTCCACATGACAGTCACACCCTATGTGCCAGTCATCCCACCAATGGCCCTATGACGACCAATGTGACGGACCTATGACGTCATCCCTTCCACATGACCCACCGCACGACTCGGTTGGCGGCCGTCTCCGAACAGGCGGGATCTCACGCAAGCAATGTTCGAGTTCCGGGACGCCTACGATGACCCCTACCACCACTACAAGGACCAAGACCACACCATCGTTGATGGGTTCTCTGAAAGAATGGGACAAAGGGCCCTAATGGATGTTTGATATATATATATATATATGGTTATGGGTTATAGTCACTAGAATGTCGGAACCGGCCTTTTGGCTGTGGGTTCGATGTGCATAGCACAGTTGTGCAGTGTTTTGAGTTGCTTTGATTGTACGGATTGTAATTGATTCTCACTAGCACCCCTTAACAACCAGCTGAAATTAATTGAAGATCATTGTTTTTTTTCAAGTGGCCCTTTCAAAGTCCCGATTTTAACCACGGATTTTAAGCCAAGACCATGGTCCTGGAAGTGCGCGTTGTTTCTACACAAGTTGACATCGATGGCAGAACTCGATGTTGCCTGCGTGATGGATGTTCTGAGATTCGAAGACCTTGTAGCAGCTGTTCCAGCCAACTCTGGCAAATTGTCATGAAGCATATATGTAACATTATGAGTCATCCAACCAACACCATCAAGCACCCATTTCTACATGTTCATGTGCATTTTATTGTCAGTTTCCAGCAACAATTTCTTTCAGATAGTCTTTTCCCATTGGACAATTCTTGTTAAGTTCCACAAGTCGTAAAATACAAGAGATCCCTTGCATCGACGCTGCCCTCGGGCAATGTGCGGCAAGCACTCCAATGCACCACATGGGCAATGGTTAACATGTAACACCACCTCGTTGTCCAATGAGGTATTACAAATGAATTGTTGCTTCGCCACACAAGCGACTCCGTAGCTCTTCTTGATGAACGCATGCGTTATTCTCCTGTGTACTCCAGTGTACTCCCGTTCTTCTCATTGGCATGCGCCGGAATGCGCCGGGATGCGCCTGCTACTTGGGAAGCCCACCGTCAGGTGTCAGGCGTCAGTACCCGACCCCCGCAGCTTTTGCGTAGTTCGCAGGACAAGTCGTTTAAGGATGATGTGGACACTGCATTGCGTGCCGCCATTCTTCCTCACATCGTGCAATTCAAAGAGCTGCATTGCAAAGACAGTTGGGGGCCCAGAAAGCCGTGAGAACTTGGGAGAAGATTCGGGGTCCAACACCGAATATAGCTAGATCCAAGTAGACTCTACCAGGTACTTGGGGTGGGGTAGTACATCCTCAGCACCTTCTCAGCTAAAGTCCGGGGTCACACCAAAAAGTCTGTCAGGTTTTGATTTTTTGATGAAGCATTTTTCTGACTGGGTTTCTTTGGGTAGTGTTAATAAGGAGTGGCTGCTCATGTTGGCACCTGGAGGAGTGGGGAAAACATCCGTTGTCAGGCTGTGAATATGGCAATGATCGACGCCAAGGATTCAATAAAAGGGAAGTGGTCCGCATGGAGGCACTTTTTTGCTGCTATCCATGAGCTCACCACATTAATCTCAGCCCATTGGACCCTCACGATGAATTGGAACACTTAGGAATGCCACTCGTGAAGCACTGGTAGGTCATGGATTTGTGAATGATGGGCCCATCATTGGGCGTGTAGTTGGCTACCGTAGTTTTTTTTGGCTGCCCACAAATGACCGTAGTTTATCACTGCACGGTCATTGAGGGCCTATATGTGTGCTGTATAGAATTTTTTTTTTGTTCCTTGATTTTTCCAAGCAGCTACTGATACTGGCCACCACAACACAATACAGAAAACACGACCTGCCTTGGAGATCCTGATGCTCATGTTTGGTTGAAAACAGCAGGTGGTTCCTTCTTTTGGAGCATCGTAGTTATATACTAGTATCAGGAAGTTCTTGGTGCTGAGGCTCACTGACAGAGGTTGCCATGGTGACAAGATGACTGAGGGTCAAAAAACAATTGCTGCCGTTGTTTGAAATTATTTTTCAATTTCTATCCTGTTGAATGATTGAACTGAAACCATCGAAGCCCTTCAAGAAGTCATAATGCATCACAATCGACAGGCTCCTCTAAGACATGAGTTTACCCACTATGGGGTACACTACTATGGGGTCATTTTTCTATGGCTAGGAACAGCATGTGTTGTTGGATTGCCCACAGCCACGTCAAAATGGCTTTAGGCTAGTCAGTGAATAACCAGATTAATATAGTATATGTATATAGTCAGGATTTTTCAGAATCCATGAGCATTTGTTTCCGGAAGCATGGTGAACTCAACAGGGTTCATGTTACATGAGAGTTTTAGTGTGCTTTTCTCCACCGTCAGGTTCTCTTGCCGGGTCTGTTTCCTTCACCAGGACCTGCAGTGTTGAACCATCCAACCCATTACAGAGTTGGGCCAAAAGCTCTCGGCACACTTGTTCCTCGCTGTAAGCTCGGGCCATGCCATGTACTTCCATGTCCTCCGAGTGTCCACGAGACCACGGGACTGCTCGATGACCACGGGAGGTGACTCCCACAGCCCATTGGACTGGTACCGAGGTCAGATGGAGTTGGTCTCACACATCTCAGGCATTGCACTGCCCTGGGAGAAAGCAGTGGCCGCTGGACAGTGAAAGGCCTCGGGAGAATTGGGTCACTGGGCCCATGAAATCTCATATGTATGGAACATTATGGAACTGGCCCCTCTGTTGGGGGTGTCTATCAATAGCCCCAAAAAGAGGTTAAGGGTTGTTCATTCACCACCCCCTGGGGGTTCTTGGGTCAGACTGGTTCAGACTATCTAGAGATGTTCGTCGTGACGCTTGGCTTTGCCATTGAACAATTCTGGTTGACATAAGTATGTGTTCAAAAGTTTGTTCTTTCTTTATTATCATTTCAGGTCTTTGCGTCAATGAATTGGTGAAAGGACAAAATCTTCAGTAAACCATGGTTTTCACCCCTAAATATGGGTTTCCTGTAGGTAGATTTTCTCTTAAACCAACTCTGGGACTACGGGTGCCACATTAATGCTTTGTTCAGTTCGGGAACTGCTGAAGCTAGATGTGCGGTGTGCATTTGTTTGCCATTCAGGGTTTGCCACGAGTGTCCTGGGCAAGTCAGCGCTAACCCCAAGCTCAGACAGACATAGACGTTGATTTTGTCTCAGAATCGCGGGGCTCCGACTCACCGCTTGGCTGCAGGTTCATCGATTGTAGCTAGTGATGGTGCTTGATGGTGCTTGGTCGTAGCCCTGAACCATCATGAACCCCATGGGAAGAACGTTCCAAAAGGAAGCATTGCCCGAATCGCCCCGTGGTCCTGCCGTCGCCTTTGCACCATCACCACCTTCTCAATCTGGAGCACGATGCGGTGAGCTTGTTACAGTTGAGGTCCAACATTTTCCAGTGACCTTTCGGGTTCTCTTGGACGCGTTTCTCAATGAGAACCAGATCGAGTTGGAAAGCATCAAGTTGGAATTCTGCCACTTGGCCAGCGCCTAGCATGTCAAGAGGCTTTGTTGAGTCCTAGGTCTTGACAAAACCAATGCCCCGTCCTTGGTCTTGATGCCACAGGCGTTTTGGGCCTTCAGATTTGGTGACCCTAAATGGGAAGACCCTTGCCATGTACAGATCCTGCAGCACAAGATGACAGTAAATCACACCCAAAGATCCCATACATGAAATATACTCCCTCCCGCTTCCGGTCACAGAAGCGGTTCCGGAAGAAGAAACGGAAGAAACGGGTGGAAGCGATCGGTTGCAGTCTCCACCTGAGACCCGTACATTGAAGAATCATTAGGAGCATATACTGTACTGTACTGGGGTGGTATAAACGTAACTGAAATAGACAATCATGAACACATACCTAGGTCATCCTAGAACTTTGCTTGTGGCACGTTCTGAACAAACAGCCTTTTACTGTCGTGCATGTGGTGTTGTACAGCTCAAACTTCGTCGAGCTGGCATCGGGGTCATTGGCATCATCTTAAAAACTCCTGACAAAAGCCGCTAGGTGTTAAGCATTTACAACCCGTGCATCAAATTCTTGCATGACCCAGACCAAGTTACAAGTGAAGAAACTGACGGTCAAACTTATGCAAACCATCGCAGGATCGCAGGCTATACATACTAGAAATCGGTGTGAGATGGCTTACTTTCGGTGTACATCCCCGTAAGCAGATTTTGGCAGACACGACATGGACGATGGACTGATTTGTTTGTGCTCATGTCCAGCCCACAAGTTATAGGTCAAACACTGTTTGGGATTGTCATGAGGGGTATCATGGAGGTCTTGGAAACTAAACACCTGTTGCACGCTGCTTTAAATGGATATGAATTAAACTATGTGTTTGATTCGATGCACACCAGCGCTAAGCTGGTGCTTGACACACAAGCGCTTGCGTTTTTTTCGCGCGCCACAAGAGTGGCATTTGGGAGCCGTGTTCATGCGCATGGTTTGCCGACCCTTTGAGCGCATCGTTGGCCGGGGCAAGGGAGTGTGGCGCCTTTTTTTTGGTCCACAAGGTGGATCTACGTAGGTCGTCATTGATACATACCGATCGAAAGATCCCACAGACTGACCCTGATCACCGAGTTTGGGTTGGAATGTTTGGCATGCTCAAGAAGTCACCTGGTCCTCAAATAGATCTTGTGTGTCTTTGAACTTTTGAACCCCAAAACCATGGAAGGATTCATTTGATATGATACGAGAAGATATGTCGTAGACTGTTTGTTGCCCGTTGCCAGAATGGTTTTATATTTTCAGCCATCTCCATATCGAGGGTTTGATTATATAATCAAGAAGTCTATATATACATATACAGTATATACATCTACGTTGTACATTCTTGTGTTCGCTTGGGTGGAGAAGTCGTCATTTTCTGTGCCAAGGATGTGGACCCCACAAGGCACTCCATGACTCATCATGTCTCCGAACCAGCTCCTTCTTTAGTAGAACCGGAGGGGTCAGACTAAGGCGAAGACCACGGATACAAGCTGAAAGATCCAGTGCTTTTGGCGCCTTGCCATGAATGGTGAACCGTCCCATGGATCAAGGGTGAACCGTCCCATGGATTGGATGGTGAAGCGTCCCATGGATGGTGTCCATTCTGCAACAGCCATACTGATACTTCAAAGTGAGGATTCGTCTTCAGGCTTTCTGCACAGTATAGAGGCCCAAAAAACAGCATGGAATGAGACGGGGATTTCAGATGATTTCAGCAAAAGAACTGTCCGGTTTTGTATGCCAAATATGCTAAGAGATCTCAGATGGGATTTCGTTGCGTTGATTTGCCATGTGATGTTCAAAGGTCTTTGTGCATTCTTTTCAGGCCAGTAAACGCTTAGTAACTAGTAGTACGCTGAAACCCATGGAATGAGGGTTCCTTCTCTATTGGCAATCAAGTGCCGACTGTCAGTTCTTTCAATCCAGACTTTCTGGCAGAAGAGCACGAGACAGTCATCATCACCTGTAGACCCACCATTCTTTGTTTTGAAACCCAGGCCTCGCCTGGAATGTTTGATATGTGTTGAATGTACCCTTTCTGTGTTTGGAATCACGGGTTTGCATTTGCATGACCTGATTGCTTTTGCTCTTCAGCATGATGTTCCCATTTGAGTAATATATAATGGGGTAGGGGCAGAGCACCTGGGACTGCGACCTCGATTTGGTGGTATCGGAGTTGACCACTTCGAGTATTGAGATAGTCACGATGGAAACTCTAGAGTCGTTGAGGCTGTTCCAAGGTCCGGCAGGGTTGGCTTGGATAGTCGATTCGTGTTTGGAACTTGTTTGACTTCTTTTGAGTCCTTTTGCTGCTAACCTTTCGCCTTTCGAGATGACATTGTGTGCATTACTTTGTCAGGCTTCCCTGATACATATACACACATATATATATATATTCAGATATATGTATATATAGAGGTGTTTAAAAATAGCTTGGGCAACCTTCTTCCTTCTTCCCAATACTGTTTGTCATTGTTGTTATTTTTACCAGTGTTGGTGTGCTTATTTTAACGGCTGCAGGTCAAAAAACTGACATATATCAGATGAACATATCCAGTTTCGGGAATATCTACCAGCTCCAGTCTGCACTCTCCAGTTGCTTACATCTTTTGCATTTGGCTGGTGACCCGGTCTTGGTAATCCGAGGACAAGTGGCGGCTTTTCCATCGGAGTCACGCGCAATACCGCAGCCGGGCAGAAGCGCGGTTTAACGCGAGTGTGCCGTGAAAGTGACCATGTTCCTCGTGCGACCACAGAACCAAAGGCGCTGTGGTTATGATGCTGATGCGCGGGGTTGCCGCTATAGAATTCGTCCATCAAGGCCACCTTCAGGGGGACTTTTCATTCCACGGGTTCATGAGCATGTCCTGTTTGAATATGTTTGATGCTTCAGAGTGCACGACGTCCACCGAATCTTGAGCAGTGAGGACCTGTCCTGACTTTTCCACATGCGGACGCCTCTATAGTTCTATCATGTTCTATTTGAACCCATGTTGGGAAAGTTCCGTCATTCATACGGCAGGCAAGTGGGGCGGGTAGGAATCGTTTCTCCAAAGTGTGCCATGGATTGGTCTGTCGCTATAATGGGTGATAATGACCTGCCTCCCAAGTGAAGGCACGCCTCTTCATGCAGAGAGGTTTCCACTCTCTTGATAAGAAGAATTATTCCAGGACCATCCAAGAGGTGTCTATAAATATCTATGTATCCCCTTAGTTAAGGTTATGATGCAAAACATAAAATAAGCATAAACGAGGCAAACAACATACACTGAAAGCGCAAAAACAAGTCACCAAGGAAAGCGTTGGAATGCAACAAAAGGCAAGCACAATGCGATAAAACCTAAATTGTCCACTCAAAAAGATGCACTGTCCTTTTGCGTTGTTTGCGTTGTGTTTGCATGTTTTGTGCATTTTTTGTACATGTCCTTGGAACAAAGCAAAAGCATGCGCAAAGAAAACAAAATAAAAATAACATTGCACAAGAAACACCCACATATCGCACACAAAACGCATTAAAGACAAATTTGGTGTGTGAAAGTGCGGGCGTGTTGTTTGTTTGTTTGTCTATGTTTTATGTGTTTTTCGGCATCCTTTTGCCGTTTTTGTGCTTTTTGATATGCACTATGTTTGACCAGCTGCCTTTTTGACTTTTTCATGCTTTTCTTTTGCATTTCTTGGTTAGGCTGTACGGCACATCATCAGGTTAAGGGGTGTCCCAAAACCACCTGTTGGAAGGTCCTGGTTTGGGCAATGTGCCTGGATCAAGAAAGTCCGACTCCTTTCGAACAGCATGTTTCTGGAGGCTTCTTTAGAGCCCCCGGGCATCCACTCTCCACTACCAGTCATCACCCCGATGGAGGACAACTACCCCACACAGAACTATATGGCCATCAGCTAGAAAGATCAGAGTGGCTGTGGGATGCTATTGGCTATGGGCATTTGGCCCACAAGAAGCATGCCTTCGAAATAAATGCAGCAGAAACAGATGGGATGTTTACACCCCTTTACCCCTCAAAAAGAAGTACAATCCCATGGGCTGGGTTTAAACATGTTCAACACCTCAAACGGTTGCATCGTTGTGAGTCTAAGAGGGTGGAGAAGGTGATCATGAGTCTCGCCTATGCACGACCCTTCTCCATGCGTCGCCTTCATCCGTCCCCATTCGCCTTCTCCGTACGGCGATACGTCGCTGGATCCGCCGTCGCTTTCGCGATCGAACACGGATGGGGAACCCCCGGCGTCCGGCACGAGGCATCATCTCCACGGATGAAGCCATGGAGCAAGAGCACCTTTGACTTGCTTGTGACCTGCAACGGGCGAATTGACTGAGCGAGCTCGGTCGTTTGGATCTGAATGTGGATGTGGGGTGTCGATATGATGTAACACACGCGAGTTGAAGAAAGAATGACACGCGGCACGCGGCAATCCTGCTTAGATGAGGGTTTTGTGCAAGCGCTTTGGCGAACCAAGTCCAGTCGGTTGTTCGTTTTGATTTGCCAAGCAGCAAGTTCCATAGATTTTGTGATCTTGAGGCTCCAGGGTTCAAGTCGCCACTTTGCGCGCTGGGACCCATCATGTATAAGGTTTGTAGGTGTATATATATATATATATAGGAGTGTGAGATGGGTCCTTGTGTGTATCGTTGGAAAACGCAGTGTGGAATTCACTCATGCCTGTGACAATTACAAGGACACAGAGTCAGATGTTATAAGTATAATTACTGATCTATTTATAATATACATATACAGATACTGTAATGATAAACCGTCACAAGCACGTTCGACACCTTCATGACCCAAATTAGCTCGTCACTGCAAACGCTGGCGACCCGAAAGCATCCAACTTTGGCCAAGACGTCATCCAGCTTCAGAACTCACGCCCGAACATTCTAAGAACCCATGGCGCGCCAGTGCAGCACACCCGCTGAGCATCGCCCCCGAGGCAGATTTTGAACCGACATCACCCCGGGCCCCTTGCTGTGTTTATTTTTGCTTGTGGGGGGGTTGGGCACCAAGAAGAACCTTATGAATCCGACATATGATTGTGACGTTGATAGACTAGTTCTTGGAATCCAGTCAGACACAGGAGCGGCCACAAAGACAAACCTCAGAAACCTCCTCAAAACCTGCAAAAGCGGTCGAACATTGGATCGATGTTGCTGGGCCCTGGCCTTTTGGGGGTTCCTCCGGTCACCGGTGTCCTTCCTGTCACGGGGCCAGGCCGGTGAAAAGGCCAGTGAAGGCCGGTGTCAATACGGTTGGACCATGGGTTGATGAAGTGCAAAGGTGTTTAACGATTCTTTTTGTCGAGCCTGCTGAACCAAACTGAGACACGAACAAAGTAAAGCTGTTCAAACAGCATATAGGCTGTGTGGCTCTCCTGCTGTTTGATTCATTATTCGATGTCCCCCAATGGTCGTGGTTTCAATTGTCCTCTTAGCTGAAAAACGATGTTTTGGGTGCTCTTTTCACCAAAGCCAAACACAGTCGGAAGCCATGACGGGCCATTGAAGGATCTTGGCCATGCCATGCCGTTGACGGGGGTCGCTGATGTGACCTTTGTTTCGGCTTCGTCTCACCCGACAACGACCATTAGAAGCACCTGCGCTCTCAGGGGTCCGAAGCAAGCAACGATCCCATGGAAGAATGGACATAGACCAGTCTACCCAGCCAGGGCCAGGAGGTCCCCCTTTTCTTATGCACAGCCAGTTGATGAATGGCGCCATCCAGTCATGATTCATTGGTTTGTGAAGCACAGGCATCCTTTCTTGCACCATGAGGCCGTGAGGCCTTTCTTGGGGCTGAAATAAAAGCAGCGAAGGACATCGTCGTTGTAGCCCTTGAGGTTAAGTCATTTGATTGGAGTTTACTGGTACTAATGTCAACAACATAATATGTGCTTGACAGTTGACCTGGCCCTTTGTTTCGATACCAATGCCAATGTTGATAGACAGAACAAGTAACCGTTTGAGTCGTCACTGAGTCACACACCGTACTATGCCGCACTAGTTGAAATGTTGTGCGCCCTTTCCGTCGGGAAATGTAGAATATTGGTTAACATCTACGTCATTCTAAGTCTATCATGTATCGTCAACATGTTTGTACGACATAGGGGCAGGCAACCTCCCACAACACCATCGATTATAAATATATGTTTCATGATGGGTTTTGTCCCTTCGACATGGGCCGGCAGATAGCATTTGACGTTCAGAGTTCATATAGGCCTTCTATCCATCCAATGCCATGCCATGCCCGTTTGGGCACATGAATTTGCTACATGGCAGGTGACAAAGCCTTTGACAGTGCTAATCCGGCACTGCTCTCGCTGATCTCTTTGCACCGTCTGTTGGTCTAAAGCTAAAACGGTTCATCGCGGCTCTTGCGCTGCTCAGGAGTGCTCAGGAGTGCAGTGGACCCGCCCTAGTTGAGATAAACCCTCAAGGTTCAGGAGATAAACCCTTAGTTTCGATAGACCTTTGGTGTGCGGGCCACTGTATGTGAAGAAGTTCAGACAACCCTAAATGCATAGATGCTTGAGTTTCAATTGATTTCGCTGGGAATTGCCTGTTGCAACAAACACGTGGTACTAAAGGTTTGGACATTTGGTTAGGTGTCCTAAAGAGCTGTTGAATCCCCATATGCTCAGGCTTTGCTGGTGTTTACCACATGGATCGTGGGGTCGTGTGGGGTCCAGACCTCTACACCCTCCTCAGGTCCGGGCAGCGGATTCCACAGCACGGCACCGGATTCAGGCTGCCAATGTTTGGGAGACATGACCTATGTGTGCAAGTAGTAAGTCCCTGTATGTTATAGCATGCCACGGTATAATTACCTACATTGGAATCATTGGAGTGGTTTTGGTTATTGGTCCATCAGCTCTACATTCCATAGAATGTCCTTTCCTGGTTTGCTTTGTATGTTGGATTTGTGTTCCAATACTGGTGTCAATCCACATGGTTGATATGTTGGATTTGTATAACATCCCATGGCCCAAGGCACCATGGGTCGTGTTTGAGGTACATGTGCTACGGATGCAGCCGCTGTGCAGGTGGCCCGTGTTTTGAAGGAAGCCATCGAAGAGGGGAAGTCCAAAGCAGACTTGGAGGCCAGGCCAAGTCCAGTGACTTGCACGTCAATTAAAAAAAAGCGCCAAACAGATCCAAACAGGTTCCTATATATACGAGTTATGAGCATTGGCCGGCCCTTGTGTGTGCGCTTCGGGTGGCTTAGATCGCAAGAGTACGATCTGGCAAGGCAGCACGAGCCGTGGCTGCTATGACACCCTCTCAAAAATGCAAGTTCTCCCGGAAAACTGCATTGACGTCCAAAACGCCATCTGTGGTTTGCTATCACTCCTCGTGGTTTCCCATCACTGCTTCTGAGGTTCGGAGATGAAGGGTTTTGACATTGAAGGTCTTGGAAGACATGACAATTCAGTGCTCTTGGGAAGGGCAGGAAGGACATCTTCGTATGTTTGAGCTTTGAGACCTCATCCGCCTAACCCCATCTCCACAGATCAGTCAGACCTCCATCCAGATGGTCCGTTTGTCTTTGCTTGCAGGTCATGGTCGAGTCGAGGTACCAGGAGAAGCTGTATTAAGCTGTGCACGAACCGGAGTCCTTGGCACTTTTCATGGCGGTAAGGTAGATGTTGATCAAACACCACTACCATTTGGATTGTAAAACGAGCTTGGTTGGTCAACTCTCTGAGGTTGTTTGCATTTGGTATAGTTGGGAACGAACAGACTCACCCCAGAAGCTGACAGAAACACATGAGAAGATCCAGAATGCTGTTTTCTTTGCCTCCCAGACTGACCTCAGAAGCTGATCTCCATCACTTCTCCAAGGGACGAGTCCCCAACCGGACGGATTGGGGTGGGCCCACCGGATCGGCGTGGGACGACACCCGCGGATCGGCCACACCTGTGGTAGATGTGCTTTCCGACCGTCGAGTTACTAGACCACATTTCAGGTGAACCTGGGTCAGGTCGAGAAGAGATCGCTTCAACTGCCATCAAATCTGCCAGGTTGACCTCCTTGAAGGTTCCAGGTCATTTTGCTCATCTTGGCTGTAGCCAGGCCACTCAGAAAGGGACCAAGTAAGGATACCAAGCGGGATCTGAAGAAGAAATCCCTCCATCATTTGGCCATTCAACTTTCCAGCAACTGAGCGAGGACTCCGTGGTCCTTCTCCTGAGCTGTACTCCTCGCATGGGCCGTGCCTCTCTGCAAAGCGGGTCTTGCACACGGCGGAGAGAGCAAACTGTAGATGTTTGTGCTCGGGAGCTTGCTGTAGATGTTTGTGGCCGGGCTGTGTCAGACTCAAAACCGGATCGAGTCGTTGATCTGTGCTTAGCCTCCAAACCCAAAGTTCAAAGGTTGTGATTTTTGCTCAGATAGATCGAATTAATCACATTCAGCATCATTCAACCCGACACTGACCCCATGTGATCTTGCGGCAATACTTACTCAGCTTGTTCTATCAAAGCAGCAGTTACAATTGCAACCTGTTGGCATGTTAAGTTCACATTTCCAACAGATGCTCCGATCCAAGCACCACTTTCTTTTTTTTTGGTCTGGGGGCCCTGTAGAAGAGATGCGACGCCACCAACGGCCAAATGTGTGAGGCCATGTCTCGGAGCTGGGTTGGTTCCCAATGCATAATTCAACATAATTCAACCATCCCCGTAAAAGAGGTGAGGGAAGCCATTTTATTGCTATAACATGTGGAGTCCAGATCCACCATGGGAATTGCATGGAGGATATTCAACAATATTCAACATCATTCAACTTAGCCTTTTGACAGACCACAGTGACCACAGGGTGCCGCCTTCAGCACACCAGGTGATGATGCGATCGCTGGTGCCATTTGCATTGGTCAAGACATCACTCGCATGAAGGTGTGGAATTGCCTCGTTCTGGAAACGAACACATGGAAGTCGCGGGTGTTTGGATGTATGATGTTCTTTTGTTTTGGTGGGGTCCAAACATCGCTGCCACCATTCCCAGACACTCTGTATGGCATATTAGACCTACATTGGGGTGGTTTCAGGGATCAATGTACGTATTGTAAATATGCCATATATGAAGTGTTTGGGATTGATTCCGGGTCAGCTGTGGACAGCGCGGTCGCGGTGACATGCATCTTAACATGGTGACGGCCAGCACTTGGTCTTTGCTTGAATGATTTGTCGCCATGGCCATGTCAAACACACGGTCACAAGGTGTTCTTATTGATGTTGCAGCGCCGAGGTGATCGGCTTGAATCGGCTTGTTTTGTTGAGGGAAATCGGGTGGATGATGAAGGTCGGAAACTGGGACATTCTCGAATGGGACGACATGATATGGAATGATTCCACCATATTGAACCTGATTTTGAAAATAGTTTGTAATGTTCAGCAGGGCGGAGCCTCGGCTGTACACACGGAATTTGCTCGCCTGTACACGTGCTTGGATTTGCTCGGTTGTGCACGCCGCTTTGCTCTGCTGTATGCATGCATGCAGGAAGGAAGGAAGGAAGGAAGGAAGCAATTAGCAAAAAGAGATCATCATGTAGATGAATGTCCAGAGGGACGTTACACGAGCATGTGTGTGGAGACCTGACCCAACGACACATCATGAAAGAATGACATATCGTGTACACATCACATCAAACCAATTTGTGTGTGTGCGCAGGTGAGCGAAATCTGTGTGCGCAGGTGAGTTTGAGGTATCAGGCACAGTTTGGACAAGGATGAAATCGATGTGTGCACAGGTGAGCGGATCCTGTGTGCGCAGGTGAGTTACTTGTATCAAGACATGCTGTGTGTATAGCTGAGCGAATCTTGCGTGCGCAAGTGAGGCGCCGTCCTAGTGGGGGTCACAACTCGGGACTGTCGTGTTGTTTTTTTGTGTGTCGAAGGTGTTCCAAGAAGGGGTAAGATGTATCTCGGCCAGTCCGCTCGTCAAATTAGAAGAACCGAGCCAAGAGTTCATGAACCGGCAGGACAAACAGGACAAACACCCCCTCCCAGCTCCCAGATTCCATTCGATTCTGTAAATTTGAGATAGCTTCACCAGCGAGGCCAGCGAAGCCTCATCCGCTGCCGAAGCCAAAGCATCAAACAGCATCAAGTTGACAGGTCATTTCTGACTTGCATCTTCACCCCGCAAGGACCTCACTTCTCAAGATATTATGATACCCGTTGCTTCTCTCCTTCCAAAGAGCTGTGCCGGTGTGCCCCCAAATAGGAAGCAACACTCCTTCGAAGTCACAGTTCGAAGTCTTTGACGATCACATACCGCTTCATACCGCATACCGCGATGCTCAAATCCCAAATCACTCATTCTTGTGGACTCTTGGTGGGCTCCGCCAACCATTCAACCAGGGGATCCGGGATCGACCGATTTGGTAGCTGCACTGCAGCCGCCCCGTGCGGCGCCAGGAGTTGGATGTGAAGAGGTCCAACATCGCAGCCACCGTGACGCATGAGCTGAGGCGAACTCGCAGAGCTGCGCGAGAACGGCCGGCGGGTGGTGGATGATGGGGGGAGTGGAAGGGGGGGAAGTGGAAGGGGGGACTGGTGCGGTCTTGGACACCTCCTTTTAATGGAGTTTGAGGACGGCCGTTGACAAAAAAGGTAGAAAGTATATGAACGTTTACTGCATTCTTTTCTGCATGTGTGAGCATTTCATAGCATTTCCTGGAATTCCCGGAATCTTCCTTTTGGCTCGGACCAATCAATCATTTATATAAACATATTTAAACCACGCATCCTTCAAAATTATAGAAGCACGGCTTCCAGATCCCAGCCACAACATATTTCAAAGTAGCATCAAACATCATGACTTACTACAAATCACTTCAACGGATCACTGATCGATGTGCTTGTTTGAACGAAGCCCCCCTCTCCCGTCCTTGCAAGACTCTTGTGCACCTCACGAGCCATCGGTCTTTGACTGGGCCAGGTCGCCCCTGCATGGCATCATTGGTTTGAGTGAACAGCTGGTCTCCACAGGCGCTAGCGGCTGTGGCCCGAGAACGGAGTGGGGGAGATAGCAGGAAGCAAAGACAAGATGCATGTGACGCAGATGCTGTTGTTAAAGGCGGCCAGCCTCACAGAACTAAACAAAAGAGGGAAACTGTGTGGCATATCACTTTTTGGTTCATTTACAGCTGGTACAACAGGGCAAAACATGTATGGACTTGTGAAGATTAGCAGCTTCATGACACGTGGTTCGTCAGACTATTTTCTTCTACTCACTACATATATATATAAATAAATATATATAGGTGGTTGATGGTGGTTGCGCCACTTGTGTTTTGGGAGAGCGTGTGTAAAGTATGGCTATTTTATGCTATGTGTTCAATGTGTTTGTTGGGGTTGCAGCCAGTGGACTCAGTGACTCAGTGGGCAGTCTTAATGGCAATCTGTGTCTCGAGCCCCTGAGTGTCAGGCCAATGATGGGTTGGTTGCATTCGATGAGTTCGGAGCGGTTCCAACCGCGATGGCTTCTGCATTCCCACACACATTGTTTCTGGATCCTGTGCTCTCAACTCATCCAAGAAGCAGGGTATCCGGGTATCCGCTTCATTCAGTTTCTAGGTCACTTACCACTCCCAACTTACGATAGCTACTCGCCAGGGGAGAGAAAGGTATACCGAGTAGGCAGGTACGATGCATGCAGGTGCTGATGCACGGCAAAAGCGGCAACTGAAGATGCAGGGAGCCAAGGGACCTGGGTGAATTCGGACCTGCAGGGCCCAGGTCCTGCACTAAGCGGGGAGTTGCCGGGTTATCGGGCATCCTAGAATCCAGGGCGCCAAGGACAAGGAGTTAGTCTCAATACTTTATATATTCAGTTTGAAACATACCTTGCATAATGTTGGATCCTGATTAGTAAAGGGGGGCTCCCCCCCCTCCCTCAAACAAATAGGGGACCTTCTAGAATAAACTACCACCAAAACAAATCTGGATTCCTAGGAGGAATCCTTTTTGTAATTGATTGTAGTATTAATTTTCCTTTCTCTCTTTGAGTAGTAGTAGTTGTAGTAGTAGTAGTAGTGGCAGTAGTAGTCGTCGTACTATAGTAGTAGTAATAATAGTAGTAGTAGTCGTAGTCGTCGTCGTAGTAGTAGTAGTAGTTGTTGTTGTAGTAGTAGTAATCGTAGTTGTAGTTGTAGTAGCAGTAGCAGTAGTAGGAGTAGCGGCAGCAGTAGCAGCAGCAGTGTAGTAGTAGTAGTAGTAGTAGTAGTAGTAGTAGTAGTAGTAGTAGT